TCTGTTGTATGGATCAAGTAAAACAATTCCTCCACCAGCCCGATGTTGAGTCAATGACCCGTCTACATACAAAGTCCATGTTTGGTCTTCGTTGACTGCTTCTATTACTGGGGTGAACTCGGCAACAAAGTCGGATAAAACTTGAGCTTTAATTGCTGTTCTCGGTTTGTACTGAATATCGTATTGACCGAGTTCTATTGCCCATTTTACTAATCTTCCCGAAGTATCAGGTCGGTGAAGAATCGACTTTAAAGGATAGGAAGTAAGCACTGTGATTGAATGTTCTTGGAAGTAAGGACGTAATTTCCGAGTTGCAATAATAAGGGCGTAAGCTAATTTTTCCATTGGTGGATATCGCAACTCGGCTTCATGTAAAGCTTTACTGACATAATATATTGGATATTGTTGATGCTCTTCTTCTCGAACGAGAACAGCACTGATAGCAGCTTCACTTACTCCCAAGTATAAGTACAACATCTCTTCAGGAATCGGTTTCTGTAGAGTCGGCATCTCCAGAAGTACTTTTTTAATCTTTTCTAATGCTTGTTGACATTCTTCAGTCCATTCGAAACATTTTTCTTTCTTAATTGATTCAAAGAAAGGTTTGCAATGATCTGTTGATTTCGATATAAATCTATTCAAAGCAGCAAGTCGGCCGGTAAGAGCTTGAACTTCTTTTACCGATGTTGGAGGCGTTAGATCTTGAATAGCTTTTATCTTTTGAGGATTAGCTTCAATACCTCGCTGAGTCACGATGTACCCCAAAAATTTACCAGAGCCGACTCCAAAAGTGCATTTCTTCGGATTTAGCACCATAGAATAATCTCTTAAGATATTAAACATCTCCTGCAAATGATCAATGTGATCAACAGCACGAACCGACTTGACTAACATATCATCCACGTAAACTTCAATAGTATGTCCAATGAGCTTAGCAAACATTTTGTTAACCAGCCTCTGGTATGTGGCCCCAGCGTTTTTAAGACCGAGTGACATCATTGTATAACAATATAATCCTCGAGCAGAATAAAAAGATGTATGTTCTGCTTCTTCAGGATCCATGGGAATTTGATTATAGCCCGAGTAGGCGTCCATGAAACTCATCAACTCATGTCCAGCAGTAGCATCCACCATGTAATCAATGTGTGGCAATGGATAACTGTCCTTTGGACAAGCTTTGTTCAAGTTGGAAAAATCGATACAGAGTCGCCATGCTCCAGAGCTTTTCTTCACCAATACAGGATTTGATACCCAAGTCGGATACTTTGTTTCTTGAATAAATTTGTTATCGATCAACTTTTGAACTTCTTCCTCGAGAGCCTTTTGTCGGTCGGGATCAAGTTTACGCCGTTTTTGAATCACTGGTTTGATTGTTGGATCTAAGTTTAGTCGGTGAGAAGCCACCTTTGGATCAATCCCTTTCATATCTTCATGTTTCCAGGCAAATACATCCGAATTTGCTTTAAGGAATTGGATGAGTTGAGTACGTATCGGTTCTTGAAGACTGGCCCCAATCTGAAGTGGCTTTTTACAAGTCGGATCATCAATATAAATTGTCTCGACATCTTCAGATGGTTCTGCTCGATCAAATTTATTTTTCTCCTTGAATTGAGTTCGAGGATCAAGTTCATCTTCTTCTTTGATTGGTTCTTTTCCTGGACGCCTTCCACGATCTTGAATCAAATCATTATTGGATTTTTCCGACTTCAAAGTTGAGTCAAGTTCCATCTCGGCGATACTAGATTCCGAATTGTCAAGAGTTGGATGTTTCTCTTGGTTTTTCCTGATATTTTCCATCATATGTATTGGAGTACGTGACTCATGCCAAGGTTTAACCCACACCATTCCACGAGCTTCATATTGGTCCCCATAATGAGTTCCTTCTCCATAGTTGGTGGGAAATTTCAAAGCATAATGAAAAATCGAGACAGCTGCACGAAGTTTATATAGAGCTGTCCTTCCGACAATGGCATTATATTCGTTTTTGAGATCCATCACCTTGAACGTCTCCATAATGACTTTTGAAGCTTGTCCGGGAATTCCAAACCGAATTGGCATAGTAATTTCACCAATAGTCGATTTAATCGTGCCATAAAAAACCTTGTACTTGATCTTTGCAGGGTTTCAATTTAGCTGGATCTATTCCAATTTGTTCAAACGTGCGTAACATTAAAATGCTTGAATATGCTCCTGTATCCACTAGTATGCAATGTACGGGTATACCGCAAATGGGTGCTGTTATCACTAAAGGATCAGCATGTGGGTGAGCGAAGTAGCTAGCATCATCCACACTGAATGTTATTGGACAATTATTTCGAGCATTAATTTTATCTCGGAGGTCAGTTGCCAAAACAGTTTTACCCGAATTATAAGCTTTTCGAGCATATGCCTTCACTTGTCGTCGTGATTCTAACGACGTATTGCTACTGTTATTGACTCGGGTAACATGATGAGAATCATCAGGATTAGAGTATCCTCCTTGTTGAATCGTTTCGGTATTTTTCAACGAATTATTTTCTTTCAAGCTCATCATGAATACTTCTTTATCACTTGGCCTCACCCGCTTTGGATTGATTGGATGACCATCATCTTCATCATCATCTGGTAGGTCTAACAATCTGCCCTTTCGTTTATAATCTGCATTTTTTGCAAACCTTTGGACTTGAGGATGACCAATGAGTCGTAATAAGGTAGAAAGCAAACCAAGACATTCATCAGTATCATGACCTGCCGACTTGTGATATGAACAATATTTAGTCTTATCAAGTCTTTCTTCTGGAGTTCTCACAGGTCGAGGATCAGGAAGGATTCCTTTCCCTTTCAATTCTTCAAATATAGTTGCTGCTCCTGCTGAGAAAACCGCCTGATAACTGGATTTGACTTCGTTAAGATATTTGGTTCTAGCTTCTTGCACCTCAGGCATCTTAGGATTCCCAAATTGAGATTTATTTTGTTTGAAGAATTTATTTTTCTTCTTTTTCGATTCTTGTCCGACTTCTGACTTATGTGAAGAAAAGTCGATGGCAGGAACCGACATCGATTCTTCAGCTATAATATGTTGTTGAGCTCGAGCTAGGAAGTCTTGAAATGACGTCGATTTATTCTGACAGATACTCCAACGGAACAAAGAATTTGGCTTCAATCCGGCTATGGCCGTGACTAGCAACGTTTCAGGATGACATTGTTCCATATTGTGTATTCGTTCATTAAACCGAGCAATATAATCTTTCACGCTTTCATCATCTTTTTGCACAATATTGGCAATCGATTCTTTGGGGATTAAAGAGACTCGGGCCCCAATAAAATGAGATCAAAAAGCCGTTCTTAATTGTCGCCATGTAGAAATTGAATACCGGGGTAAGGAATGATACCATTTTTGGGCTCGAGGTTCTAAGTGCGTCGGTTGCCCCATGGAGATCCATCCATGAAGTGTATTGACCAAGATGAGCATCAGGATCAGAGGTACCGTCATATAAACCGATTTGAGGAACCTTAACTTTGACAGGAAGAGGTTCTCTGGTTAAATGAGGAGCCAGGGGAGTCTCAACCTCTTGATACACCTCTTCCGTCATAGGAATGTGTCGTCGAGATTCCTCACGATCATCTTGCCGAGTTTCTAATTCAGCAATTCTTCTTCTTAACATCTCCAATTCATCCGACTCACGTCTTAAACGATTCCTTTCGATAGTACGACGTAACTCATCATGCTCACGTCAGACGCGATTTCGTTCAAGAGTACATCGCAAATCAGATGGTTGACCATGCTGTAAAGTCTCCGGCAACGAGGGTGCCGGCCGTTGCAGTCGACGCCCAGAATGACTTTCAGCAGTCACTTCTGGTTGAGCTGCTTCTGGAACATGATTTTGAACAGGAACTACTCCACGATTATGAGTCTCAGGTAATTGTGGATGGGAAGTTGCATGCGATGCAGCAGGAATATCATTTTGCTGTCGAACAGGTGAAGGATGAGTTCGATTATGAACTGCTGCAGTTGGTTCTGCTCTTGTTTGTGCTATAAAATCAGTTAAATTTCTCAAGAACTCTGGATCTTGAAAAAAAGCAGAGTAATCTATCGACATAGATGGCACAGTCGAATTTTCAGTTGTGTAAGTAGGGTGACGATTTGTTCCAATATTTGGATTACGTTCGTGTCGCCTAGAGGTTGACATGATTTTTGTGTATGTTTATAATTAAGCGTTATACAAACAACAAATCGAAGATTCGGAGATTCGAAGGTTCAAGCCCTTCCTCTAGCGCCAAACTGTTGTTGTCTGGGATAACAACTTGAAATTATAAACAGCAAAGTGTGTTTAAACAAAAATTTATGTAAAGTTGAATTTTATTTAGATATTCACAAGAGTACAGGAGTCGGTTTTTTGTATTCTTAACCGAGATCATTTTTAGCCCATGTACAATGTGTTTGAAAAGAAAGAAAGAAGATCCTCGTACTATCATAAATTCTGCTATTTATAGTACGGTAGTTTTTGTCTTCTTGCTAGAGATGGATAAGAATACATTTAATGTTAAGCAGCTTCAATAAAGTGATGTGTCTTAGAATTGGGGAACATCAATGATTGCTCTATCATCTTGACGATCCAATCATATGCTTACAGCTCTATCTTTTACTTGGATATTCGAACCTTTTGACTGTCGGTTTAAACAGATGAAGCTTGATTCGACTTATCATAATATTGGTTGAAATGAAGTCGGCTATTTGCATCTGCCTCAATAGTCGGTACCTTTAACGATCTCGGAAGTCGGTAATTATTTCAGAGAATTCCGACTTGGATTAAGTTCCTTCCTGGAAGTTTATTTTACTGAATCGACTAATCACTGACTTTAATTCTTCAAAATCATAATTCTTCAAAATCCAATCAAAACCAAGTCAGTTATCAACAGGAACATTTACGCCACTACCTCCTTACAACATTCTCCAGCTGAGTTAGACAACAATAACAAAACACAACATACGAAAATTAAAACCACAAAATACAACTTCTTTACTTAGACTTTATCGCCTTTTGACCGGGTTTATCTTCATCTGTGATGTGCACATTCTCAATTTGTTGAGTAATAACCTTTGATAAACTGGGACCCGAAGATTCTTGCTCAGCATTGTTAGTTGGACCTGTCTGCCATATTCTAAAGGCCCCGTCTTCATATCCTAAGGCATATGATCCTCCTCCTGGCAAGAAACGAACGTAATGGACTGGACCATGATACCCCTTGTTCAAACCTACGATCAACCAAAATATGAAGAGAAAATCAAATACTAAAAATACAAGTGACAACAACATATTTGCTAGAAACCGATCTCACTAACAAATTACAATTCAATACGTTTTTTGTTCCGATGCCTTAAACGTAGAGTTTTGTATAAGGATGGTTATATCATAACTTAAAATGTCAATTAAAGAGCAACCATCATAGCTTAAGAAAACTACAGACTCACCAACTTCTGTTACTGAGTGAAAAGAAAAAAAAAAAAACATGAATCCACATGTCCTCTCCACCATCAATAAACTTGTTACCATACTTTGTCTCCAAAGAAGTTTATTCCACGCGCATTTCGTAACTCCTTACCAATCCAAAGCTGGTGAACTAAGTACCACGTTAATGCACGAGCTAAACCAATAAAAAATAAGATAGAGCACTGAAATTGACAGACATACTTATTTGCATCCTAGAACATGACAGTCGACTGTCAACCCATCCGCAATTGTTATGTAACGGCCATCTTGACTAACCTTAGCACTTGTTACAGAGGACTTGGTCTAAGCGCCCGAACAATCGTGCTGGTTCTCACGTCCCACAACCTAAAGCCAATCCATTGGTTTAATAATTCAGATTCAACATATACATAAAATGGACCATGCAGGAGAATGTAAAATTTATTCTTGCAACAAATAGTTCTATGAGCATAACCCAATGGTATTAAATAGCGATAATAATGAAGTACAAATTATGTTTCATCAAATAAGTCAAACCTAAAACCTAAACCATTCTCACAATGAACTTCATTGCAGCTTTGTACAGCATAAATTTATCCCTTTGAAATTGTTTTAAGGCATAGAGGATAAAGCCACCATGACTCCTCCGAATCCGTCTTCCCATTCAAACGGCTTCAATAGAACTCTGCGGCGGTAGTCGATTTTACACGACGAAGGGCGCAAAACAAAGGCAGTGACTCCACGACTATCAATCGCTTATTGGGCTATTGCATCACTAAAAGTGGTTGTCTTTTCACCGAGCCCGATTTTGAGCAAAAAGGCATCCTCGAGCCCTAACTCTTCATACCAATAAGAGAGAATGACAGTCGCAGAAAAAAAAAAAAATTGCGGCCGAAGATGGGGATAGATCTGAAAATGCGCGAGAGACCGACAGAAGTTTTGGGAGAAAGCGAAGGTTTCAATCATTTACAAGAAATAAAGTATTAAATTATTTAAGTGTAATTATGCAAGAACTTGAGGGAAAAAAGGTAATACATATCTATGATAGTTACGTGTCAAAAAATTAGGAAACCTCTCAAATAAAAAAATAATAAAAGCATAGTGCAAGCACTGCTTTATATTAAATACTTAACATAGATTTAAATAAATAAGTATATAATGTAACTAATTAAAATTCTTAGCTCGATTTAGCTCAATAAGGAAACGAACCTATTATGGAGATCGAGCTCAAAGAGTTCACCTAGTTTATGGTGTTTCACTAACAACTTTCCTGTTTAATGTAGGGTGAGCGGTCATTATGTACGAATAAATGCAAACTAACAATGTTTTTCTAATCCAGAATGCTACGAGATCGAACCTTTGCACAACAAAACAAAGCGTATTAAGGGGAAAGTAGCAAATGCATGTATGCGAAGCTTAACTAATAATATCTCCTCATCATGTAAATTGTAAACCACAACCACAAAGGTATGGTACCAAAACCGTTGACAATGCTCATCTATTCAGTATCTCCAGCCTAAACAGTCACGTAAAAACTCACATAACTAGCAAAAGAGGACCAAATGTGAGTGATAAAATTAGTGTAAATACATATTCATCAAATAAAGCCCCATAAATAAACAAATTAATAAAAACAAAATTAAAACTACGAAGAGCCACAAGACAATAGCCATGAATGTTCACTTTGAGCACGCCATCGTGGCAAATTGAGGATTCTGAGCCACATCTATAATTACCTTTTGAGAATTCAAACCAGAATGAAATGTCCCCATGAAATTAAATATCCTGATGAAAACAACATCAAATTAACAGACACCTAAGCTGAGACGACAGATTAATGGTTCAGCAGATTCATCTTTTCAGAACATGAATATCTTTAGCCAAATTATAGACTGACACAATTTCTCTTCAATAATAATTTTTATCTGAAGCGGGGGCATGCTAATGTATAAGACAAGCCAGTCCATATAGTTACAATAAATATATGAAAAGGAAGTAAATGACCAATCCTAATTGTTGGGAAAAATTACTTTTTAGGTCCATTATTGGTCAAATTCCCCTTTTGGTCTATTAATTTGATACCACGTCAAATAATACCATTATGTTGATACTTTTATCACTTTTGGTCCATTTTGCTATAATTGGGTTGCGATGGTAATAGGGCCGAATATCTCCATTTCTTATCATTTTTTAATTAATTTTATATTTTCCATGGGATAAGTGCCCATTATTACAGGTTCACTCATCAATATATTAAAAAACATGTAGTAAAAGGAAGAATATTTCTTACATCTGAAACGCTGTCCTGGGGATAATCGAAAATACAAATCTCAAAAATTAAAATATCCAAATATTTTTTAATTCTATTACCAAAGAGTTAGATTGATCTCTTTTAGCTACAAGGAGCATGATTTCTGTCAAGGAGATAGAAAGGAGATAGAATGGAAGGCAGTAGAAACAAAGTGCGACCGGGGCTTCATTTATTAATGACAGGTGCATGTGGTAGGCTTTACACCTTTTACTTATCCAATTTAGTTAATTTGAAGATGTAAGTTGTCTCCAATTTTTTATGGGAATTTTCTGTGTGAATTGGATGTTTTTTTATTGGTAAGAAATGATTTTTTTTTTTTTACATGGATGATTGTCTACAGGGGGAAAATGAGTTATTTCAAGAAGCTTTGCTCCTTTTAGATGCTATACCTTGTTGTGCATTTGTTATTTCGATTTATGATGTTTGAGGGTTGTTTTAGTTGTGGTTGATACACCACTCGAGGGGGGAGTTTTTTGCTTCCTTCGTGTGTGCTGCTTTATCCATAATTGGTAGATTCGCCCATCTTGTATTCATTTGAATATGCCTTGTAAACTTTGATTGAGCTTATTATATATTTGTCGTTGGAAGAAAAAAAGATTGTCTCGTTTCCTGCTTTAAAAAATTTAATTATTCTTTGCGTCCATGTTTGTAAAATTAATTAAAAATGATAAGAAATGGAGATACTCGGTCCTATTACCATCTCAGCCCGATTATAGTAAAAATGGACCAAAAGTGATAAAAGTACCAACATAATGGTATTATTTGATGTGGTATCAAATTAATAGACCAAAAGGGGAATTTGACCAATATAATGGACTGAAAAAGCAATTTTGCCTAACTGTTATTTCACTTCATTTTATCTTGCTTGTCATAATCGACACAATATTATGGACAAAATAAAGAACTTAATGTTGTATAATACAGTAATCAACTACTTAATTGAGTGTCATGGAGAAATTCAGTTAGTAACACGAAATTATCTACAAGCGAGAAAATTTGTAGGATACATGAAGAATATTTTTACAGATAGTGAGAAAGAAGTTTATTATGCAAAAGGAACCAAGGTAGAAATCATTTGATATCCTAAACCACCCACACATTTTCTGAAATGATTCTACTGTCAAGGGGAAAATATTTTATAGGTGAACCAAGACTAGAGCTGTCAATTTGGCCCGTGGCCCGCGGGCTGCCCCGTCCCGCCCCGAAAAAGGGACGGGTTGGGCCGAGATTTTTTAAGCCCGCTCCCCGGCTAGAGCGGGGCGGGCTGTCCCATCAATTATTAAAAAAATAAATAAAAAATAAAATATAAAATTTCTATCTCTATCTCAAGCCCTCATTCTTCTCCTAGACTTAACCCTAACCCTCGTCTCACTCACCTCCACCCGCACTTGCAGCACTGCCTGATTCTCTCAATCTCAGCCTCTCCGATACTTCGACCTTTGTCCACACCTCCGCCTCCATCCGCCTTCAAGAATTGAGACCGACCTTCGCCTTCGGCCTCCGCCCCCGGTTTCTGCCTTCAAGAATCGAGAATGGCCTCCATCTTCAAGAATCGAGACCGACATTCGCCTTTGCCTCTAGCGTCCGCCTTCGAGAATCGAGCCCGCTTTCCCCGTCTTTATCAAATCTCGTTTTCTCTGTAACGCCCCGATCATTATTATAATATTAAGACGATTTCACTGCTCGACTATAAGTGAAACTTGTATTTTGCAGAAATCTTAAGTTAGACGATTATTATATGCTAAGTGCTCATTTATAATATGATTGATTATTCTTAAGAATTTTCTAAGTCATGTTAAGACCAAGATCAAACCATTATTTTGGGTTGATAAGTGATAACTATTCGGATTAGCAAGTTGGTTTGGAACCCTAGTTTTTATTCCGAGCTTTATTTTCCAAGTCATAGCCGAGCATTTAAGTCAATACTTAAAATATTTTTCTAAGTGTTGGAGTAGTATTTCGAGCCTTTGAAAACAAGCCTAGAATCACCAAACCCTCGCGTGAACCAAGCCCCAAGCCATGCTTAATGTGTAATTGAAGTGTTAGGATTATTCTAGGCATTTTTCTAAGTCCAAACATCATAAGAACCAAGCCATATACTCAGCCCAAGAGTAACCCGCGCGCACCCCACGCCCAGCCGTGCAATCGCACGCCCAGCAAGGCCAGACCTGCGCCCAGCGTCCAGGCCCAGTGCCAGCCTGCACCAATTCACTTTCTGAGCCCAAACTCCATTTTTCAGCCCACTTTCACCGAGCCCAAATTTGTGAGGATGCAACCAGCTTACCAAGGTGTTATTTGAGACCAAATGTCCCTGGTCAAAGTCAATGCTATAGCTCTCTAGTCTTGGTCCAAGTTAGTGAATATTTTATTGTCCTAGGGTGAAGATATGTCCCCCATTTCTTATACTCAAGACCAGACATGTACCTAAGCTTTTGTGCTCTGAAAACATCCCCATAAATCCTCCCAAAACCGTGCTTGGACCACCCAAAGTCTTGCAAGACATCCCGTAAGTCCTAGGCACATTGGTGTGACCAAATTTCCCCTCCTTTTGTCTCCATTGACCAAGACTTAAGACCTCAGCCCTTATACCTATATAAGGCCATTTCTTCAGACCTTATAAGCTATTAGACTCATGAATATTTGGCCATACTTAGAAAAATAAGGGGAAGAACCAAGAAACCACTTACCTTGGCCATACCGCACGCGCGCACGCCCAAGTACTCTCATGACTTATCACTTTCCAAGTGTTTCTTGGATTTTATAAGTCATTGGAGCTCACTAAGTTCAGCCATTATCAACCGAAGTCAAGTCCTAGCCCCAAAACTGCACCTACGCCCGAGTTCAAGTCCTAGCAACCATTTTCCATTCTCGATGAAGGTTAGCTCGAGCCTCCCAACTTGTATAATCATTTTATCATAAAATAAGATTTATCATGAAGAGAAATGAAGCCATGCATGTATTTTAATATGAGTTTCAAATTTTAAGAAAGTAAGGCTTAAATATCGGATTTTTAGTACATTGCATGCTTAGGCCGAATTTGTTTGTTAAATGTCCCTTATAAATCATGATAATGAAGATATATAAGTTTAAGTTTGGAGTTCGTTTGTTCGGTCAACTTGTTCATGATTTAGGGAATTTTTCACCCCCGAGCCTCATCTCTATGCATGCAAGTATAAGCCATCATTTCAGCCTCATTAGCTATGATTTATTATGTTAAACACTCGGCCATAATCATATAAGTATGTTTGAGAAGTTGTTCTGGTGACGTCGGGTCCGTACGAGCCTTATCGGCCCTACCAGACCAAGTCCATGCATGTCGAGTTCTCTTAGGGTTTTATGTGTTATTTGACCTTTTTTCAGCTTTTATCACACGTTCAAGTATGAGTAGTTGGTTCGGTGATTTAGTGTTCGTACGTGCCTTATCGGTCCTTCCAAACTACATGCATGGGGACCCGGGGTCTCCTAGTGCTTCTTTGCATTTTTATGTCTATTACATCATATTATGTTCATATAAGTCGGATGTCACTAGTAAAGTAGCCAGACGACCGGCGAGGAGCCGACCAGGGCCGCTGCCGCACACCTAGCGCGTGCAGCGCCCAGCGTGCCCAGCACGCGCAGCGCGTCTGTTCCGCGCTGATGATTAATCGCGTGTCCTGACTCGTGTCTTGCCTCAGACTTGGCATGGGCTTCGGTCCTTGGACGTAGGTGCGGACGACTCGGAGGTTAACTTCTTATCTTCTCGCGATAGGTGAGACAGCTCGGACGGATGTCCTTGCCAAACTCGTCTTTCTCGAGCAATGCGGCGGGCGCCCTTCTTGTGATAAGGGTTTTGCGCTAAATATCAAGAGAAATCTAACGCAAGAATTTAAACAAGAAGTTCGGTTTTCTTATTAATAATTCGATGATGAAAAATAACAAGAGCATGCGTCTTTATATAGGCTTCAAATAAATCTACTCCTAATCAATCTAAATATCCTAATAAAGCAATAAATAATTAAAGTCCTAAACAATCTAGAAATCATAAGCAATAAGGAAACTAAATATCTAAAGGAGTCCTAAAGGATCTCGTCTTGTGTGCCAAGCAAAGGAACCCTAGCCACGTTGGTCTCTTCATCGCGCGCCTTGCCGCATTCATCGAGGACTAGGGTCTCGGTCCTCGCGCATGCAACCCCTCCATGCGGCATCATCAGCGGTCCGATTCGGCGTGGCCCTCGCGCGCGTGCTCGCACGCGTTGCGCTTAGTTGTGGTCTCCTCGCGCATGTCGTCTCGTGCACCATCAGCAGCGCCTATCGCGTTGGCCTCCGCGGTCCATCGAGCTAGCCGTTTGCGAGCGCGATAAGCCCGACTCGCAACGTTCTTCAGGCGCCTTGCCATATCCTCATCATTCCCGTCCCTTCAGCATTTCCTTGTCCTCAAAGACGAGAGACGGAAACCTCTCGCGCATCGCGTCCATGTCCTCCCAAGTCGCCTCTTCCTCGGGCGTATCTTCCCAATCAACTAGTACCTCCTAACGGAAACGTACGGCCTTCTTCACTTCTCGGTAGCTAAGTGCGCAGCTTGGTCTAGCGATGATTTGCCCATCGGGTGCAGTTGCGGGCAGCCGGTCGCTCAGCTTGTGTGAGTCGTCCAAGCTTCGCTTTAATTGCGATACATGAATTACCGGGTGAATTTGCGATTTCTCTGGCAACTCGAGTCTATAAGCAACCTTGCTGAACCTTTTGAGCACTCGGTAAGGCCCGTTGAATCGTACCCCTAGTTTTGACGCAGTCTGTTGTGCAACCGTACGCTGCCTAAAGGGCCGAAGCTTTAGGTAGACCCAGTCGCCCGGCTCAAAGCTTTCCTCGCGACGCTTCTTGTCGTGGAATGTCTTCATGCGATTGATGGACCCTTCGAGGTTTTTCTTTAGTTTGTGTAGCATTAGGTCGTGCTCCATTAGCTCCCGCTTGACCTCGTCGTTCACGGACTCTCCCATCGTATAGCTCACAAGGGTAGGCTGCCTTCATCCATAGACTAACTAAAAAGGCGTGGCTTTGGTCAAGCTGTGATATGTTGTGTTCTACAAATATTCGGCCCATAGTAAGAAGTCTTCCCACTTCTTAAGAAATTGGTGGACGTAGCACCTCAAGTATTGTTCCAAAGTTTGATACGTCACCTCAGTTTGACCGTCGGTTTGCGGATCATAAGCCGAGCTCATGGCCAACACCGTCCCTTGCATCTTGAAAAATTCCAACCAGAAGCTACTCATGAAAATGCGATACTCCACAAACAGTCGTGCGATCGACTTTGCCTTGTAGGGGTGTGTCAAGGGAATGAAGTGCGCGTACTTCGTGAGACGGTCCACCACGACCATCACTCCATTAAATCCATTGGACATAGGCAGCCCCTCGATGAAGTCCATGGTGATGTCTTCCAAAATCCGCTCAGGAATGGGTAAGGGTTGCAGCAATCCCCCGGGCAGGCATGAGTCCGCCTTTACCCACTGGCACTGGTCGCACCACACCACATATTCCCGCACTTCACCTTGTTGCCCGGGCCAGAAGAAGATATTTTCTAGCCTCATCCACGTGCGGTACACGCCTGAATGCCCACCAAACTTCGAGTCGTGGAAGTGTTTGATTATCGCTTCCTTCAAAGGCCCGACGCTTGGTATGAGCACGCGACCTCGGTATAGGAGCAACCCGTCATGGTCGTCGTACTCGTCAGCGGCTGCGTCTTTTGCTTCCATCTTGCCGCGTATGTCCCGACAAAAGGCATCGTCCTTTTGCGCGTGTCTCAAATCATCCCATAGGGCCTAGGTTGGCCCGGATATTGCCTGCAGTTCGGCCACGTCCGTTCGTCGCGATAAGGCATCGGCGACGGCATTCTGTCGCCCCGGACGATACACAATCTTGAAGTCAAACCCCATAAGCTTCGAGACAAATTTATGCTGTTTGGGCGTGACAATCCTCTATTCCAAGAGGTGTTTGAGAGGTTGTTGGTCGGTCACTATCCGGAAGCGTCGCCCTAGGAGATAAGGTCTCTAACACCGCACTGCCTCGACTACAGCGAGCATCTCCTTGACATAGATCGACATTCCGAGCTTCATAGTCCAATGGGTCTTGCTGAGGTAAGCTAATGGTCGCCATTCTTAAACTAGGATAGCTCCAATCCCCATATCGCTCGCGTCGGTGTGGACCTCGAATAAGACGTCGAACTTTGGCATGGCAAGCACGGGTGTGGTAGTCATCGCGCCCTTCAACTTCTCGAACACGGTTTCACTGTCCTCGGCCCACTTAAATCCCCCCTTTTTGGTCATCTCCGTCAAAGGTTTGGCGATGGTCCCATAGTCCTTTACGAACTTTCGGTAGTACCCGGTCAATCCCAAGAACCCGTGCAACTGAGTTAGGCTCGTTGGCTTAGGCCAGTCGACCATGGCCTCGATTTTCCTCGGGTCAACCTTTACGCCCTCGTGTGAGATGAAGTGGCCGAGGTACTCGACCGCTTCCTGCCCAAAGGAGCACTTCGAGGGCTTGATGTGGAATGAATTTTGCGCCAAGATCTCTAATACTACGCATAAGTTTTCGATGTGCTTCGGCCATGTCCTCGAGTAGATTAAGATGTCGTCGAAGAATACTAGCACAAATTTGCGCAAGTACTCCTGAAAGATTGAGTTCATGGCAAATTGGAAGGTAGACGGGGCATTGCAAAGCCCGAAGGGCATTACCAAGTACTCGTAGTGCCCTTGGTGTGTCCGGAAGGCTGTCTTTGGGAAGTCCGACTCCGCCACGCGGATTTGATGATACCCGGCCCTCAAGTCGAGATTAGAAAAATAGCACGAGCATCCCAACTCATCCAACATATCATCAATGCTCGGTATAGGAAATCGGTCCTTCATGGTGGTGGCGTTCAATGCGCAGTAGTCTGTACAAAAGCGCCACGTTCCGACCTTCTTTTTCGCGAGCAGCACCGATGACGAGAACGGGCTCGTGCCGTGCTGAATTAACCCGGACTCGAGCATCTCACCAACTTGCTTCTCGATCTCGGCCTTTTGGAAATGTGCGTAACTGTACGGGTGGACATGTACCGCTCGTCCTTCATCGACCAACGGTATGCGGTGGTCGTAAGGTCTCCTCGGCGACAACCCCTTTGGCTCGGCGAGCACTTCCCCGAACTGCTCTAGTAAGCCCTGGACCTCCTCTTCGTGTCGCGGCGGGCTATCAAACCCTTTCGTTTGCCCCTCGACGACCACAACATATATTTGTCTTCCACCCTTCTACAATTTCTCAATGCTCTTGAGCCCTATCTCCTTAGATCCCTTGTCACCACCAACCTTACAAAGTCACGCGTCACTTTCCCGCGTCAAACTTCATAACTCCCTCGCGGTAGTTAGTGGTCACATCCCCGAGTCCTTCCAGCCATTGGACCCCGAGAACAGCATCGGGTCCAACTAAGGGTAGCGTGTATAGATCGGCCTTCACCGTCATGCCTTGTAGTTTGATCGGCACACCCTTGTACGACTCGCAACAATGCAGGCGCTCCCCATTGGTGACCCGCACCTCGAATGGTTCAACCTCGGTTACGGACAACTTTAATTTTTGCGACAATGTCGTGTTAATGAAGTTATGCGATGACCCGTTGTCTACGAGTACCACGACGTGCCGGTCGCACATCCTTGCGAACAGCCGCATGGTCCTTGGCCCTCTCGTACCAGTCATTGCGTGGACCGAGATCTCCGCCTCGTCGTCGTGCGCCTCGGGTTCGGTTTCCTTGGGCTCGAGCTCGTCTATTGCGGGCTCGTCGTCCTCGGAGTCGACCACTTAGATCAAATAGGCCTGTTTGCATCGGTGGACCAGTGTGAAATTCTCTTCGCACTTGAAGCACAAACCCTTCTCTCACCTCCTTCGCATCTCCTCAAAAGACAGGTTTCTTACCTCCGGTGGTCGCGGTCTGAAGTTGTTAGGAGATCCGCTGCTCGCGCCTCGGTTGATGTTGGGCGCATTGGTTATCGACCGCTGCTGCTTGGTGAAGCGAACGTCATTGCGCCCCGCCTTCGCGTCGCAGCTAGATAGTCGTCACGCCTACGCACAACCTCGATGGCCTCGCAGATCATCGTTGGCCTTTCCAAACTTACTTCCGCGGCTAGATTAAACTTCAAACCACCCACGAACGCCCCGAAAAGCGCTCCCTCGGGCCATCCACGTACGCGACAAATGATGCGCTCGAACTCCCGCTGGTAGTCGTGAAGGCTCCCTGTTTTCTTGATATGCGCGAGGGCCTCGTCATAGTTGTGGTAGTCTGACGCGCCGAACTTTGTGATGAGCTCTTTCTCAAAATTTTCCCATCAAACTGGCTTGTCCCAATTTTGGTAAGTACTCAAGAGCCACTGCCACCAAACGTTGGCCTCTCCGTCCAAGTAGTATGCTGCATACCTTACCCATTCGGCCCGTGCGATCTCAATAAGGTTGAAGTATTGCACGGCCCGGTTTAGCCACGCGCCCGGATCTGACCCATCGAAGGTCGATAGCACCATCTTTGGCTTCTCAACCCTAGGCCTTTCTACATTGGTCGAGGAATGAGATCGACGATCGAAATCATCCTCCCTCTCCTCGTACTCCAGCCGCTGGCGCTCGTACTTTATGGATCGCGCCCTGGCTCGTCCTCACGGTGGCCGTTGCCGCACCAAGCGCAGGACCTCGTCGATCCACTGGTTCATTGCATCCATCATGGTTTGTTGTGAATTATAGAACGACCTCTCGAGATGCGTGAGGTTGTTCGTCATAGTTGTGTTGGTGGCTTCCAACCCCTCGCTAAGACTCGTCATCTTAGCCTCCAAATCTCCAGGCTTCTCTTTAGTTTCCTTGGGCATTTTTTTTTAGGACTCGAAAATTAAATCAAAAGATGGAACCAAGAACACGCGATTAATGCTCTCAATGAAAGCACCAATGATGAATAATCGTGTGTCCCGACTCGTATCTTGCCTCGGACTTGGCGTGGGCTTCATTCCTTGGATGTGGGTGCGGACGACTCGGAGGTTAACTCCTTATCTTCTCGCGATAGGGAAGACAACTCGGATGGATGTCCTTTCCAAACTCGTCTTGCTCGAGCAATGCGGCGGGCGCCCTTGTCGTGACAAGGGTTTTGCGCTAAATATCAAGAGAAATCTAACGCAAGAATTTGAACAAGAAGTTCGGTTTTCTTATTAATAATTCGATGATGAAAAATAACAAGAGCATGCGCCTTTATATAGGCTTCAAATAAATCTACTCCTAATCAATCTAAATCTCCTAATAAAGCAATAAACAATTAAAGTCCTAAACAATCTAGAAATCATAAGCAATAAGAAAACTAAATATCTAAAGGAGTCCTAAAGGATCTCGTCTTGTGTGCCAAGCAAAGAAACCCTAGCTGCCTTGGTCTATTCACCGCGCGCCTTTCCGCATTCCTCGAGGACTAGGGTCTCGGTCCTCGCGTGTGCAACCCCTCAACGCAGCATCATCGCGCGGTCTGGTTCGGCGTGGCCCTCGCGCGCGTTGTCGCACCCGCCCACGTGCTCGCACGCGTTGCACTCGGTTGTGGTCTCCTCGAGCGTGTTGTCTCGTGCGCCATCAGCAGCGCCTATCGCGTTGGCCTCCACGGTCCGTCGAGCCAGCTGTTTGCGAGCGTGATAAGCTCGACTCGCGGCGTTCTTCAGGCGCCTTGCCATATCCTCATCACGCGCCCAGACCGCACGCCAGCGCCTCCAGCCCGTGCCAGCACGCCAGGCCAGCGCACCAGCGCGCCCAGTAGCAGTGATGAAGAATCGTGTGTTACGCCTAGCTCGACTCGCTCAAAACCGCGCCGACGCCTTGGTTCCTTTGCGATAGGTTGCTAATACGCACGCCGACGCCTTCGTACTTCGCGATAAATGTGACGAAACTCGGATGTTCGTCCTATTTCAATCACTGTGACGAAACGTGGATGTTGGTCCTATTTCTATCACGAACTCTATGTAAACTCACAAGAGAAAACACACGAGAACTTTGAACACAATGTTCGACTTTTCTATTCACTCATCAATCATAATTTCGAAGGGTACATAGGTGGGTATTTATAGATACCAAATAGATCTAATCCTACTCTAAATAGAACTCCTAAATCATGCAAGTAAATAAATTCTAATGCAACTAAACATCTTGGGAATAAAGACTTTCCTAACAATTAAAAGACTAATAGGAAACTAATAGGCACATGCCTTTTATTTGGACTCCTAACCAAACTAAGACTCCTAAGTATGCTAAGTAGATCACGCCCAAATCCTTTGCTTGCCTGGCAAGACAATCGCGCGCCTCAAACCCTAGCCATTCGTGACGCGCCGCCTCGCCAGCCCTACTCCTAATTGTGCGCGGTATCGCGCGCGCGCCTCTCACGCATCGCCATCCATGCGCGCTGTGCGCTCTCGCCCCTCAGCCCGCGCGTGCTCGCCCCTCGCGTGAGTGCCACGCACGTCCGCTCGCTCGGCCTCACTCCCTCGCTCGCTCATCGCCTCGGGCGCATCCCAGTCACCTGCGCATGTGTCGCGCACGACCGCCTCGTCGTCCCACTCGACCAGCGCCTCGCGCGTGACTCTCATCACCGGGCCCCGCTCGCGCCCGCTCCTCGGGCCCGTCCATTCCACTCGCGTGTCCGTACCATCGCAGCCGTCCCAAGTGCACGTTGTCCACCCTACATCCTCCCCTCGTGCACCATTTTCCTTAGCCCTCATACGCC